ATCTGATTGTCTTGAGCTAACATTGGTTGCAAGACAGATGTGTAGTGCTTCCCCATCACTCTTCTTTTGACATTTTAATCACAATGTTCTAGGCTGGAAAGGGGCCTACCTCTTAAAGAAGGCTGTTTTAAATAAACTGGAAAATCTGACCCTCAACAATTCAAAAAGGAGAGGGAACTGAGAGAGATCAAGCAGATTGGACTGCCTCAGCTTTCACTGAAATTCTGCAAGAACCTATGATTCCATCAGTCAGCCTTGGAATGGGCTCCATAGGAGTTACAGCTGAAAGGGACCTTAGAGATTAGCCGCTTCATCTTGCAGATGAGCAAACAGACCCAGAGAGAGGAAGTAGTCCAGGATCATACAGTGAGGAAGTAACTGAGCAGCGATTCATAACCAGAATTTTTGATTCCATATCCTGAAGTTTTTCATGTATTCCCAAGTTAAAAGAACAATCACTCACTAGCCAACCAGCTAGAGATGAGCCTCTCTGGGCTTATTTGGGATGGTTTTTGAATGAGAAATAAACAATCCATCACTAGACTTGGACTCAAAACTACTACTCTGTACTCCACTGGCAAAGCCTTCAGTAACTCAGGGTTATGGCAAAGCCTTCAGTAACTCAGAGTTATCTCCAATCCATCAAAAGGAATCAAAGGAAAACTAATAGATTTCCCTCTAATACACACACACACCCCATAGATAAAAATGAAAGACGTAAAGATGATAACAATAGTTCAAATTTCTACAAGGCATCTAGGTTAACAACACACTTCCTTCAAATCACCCTGTGGAATAGGTACTGAAAGTATTATGTCCCTCCCCCACCTCATTTTACAGGTAAGGAAACAGAAAAGTTAAGTGACTTGTCCACAGTCATACAATGGGTTACTGTGAGAGGCAAAACATGCTCTTATCATAAGATTGTAAATCACCCATCATGAGTTCTTTGAGCCTTAAAAAATTGACTGAGAAAGGTAATGGAAAGAACATTGAAATGGGAGTCAGAATTCCTGAGTTCTAGTCTTTGTTCTTTTAGCACCTGTATGACCTTGGACAGGTCCCTTGTCTTTGGGCCTCAGCTTCCACTGTTTAAAATGAAGGGCAGTAGGGGCAGCTAGGTGGCGCAGTAGATAGAGCACCGGCTCTGGATTCAGGAAGACCTGAGTTCAAATTTGGCCTCAGACACAACACTTACTAGCTGTGTGACCCTGGGCAAGTCACTTAATCCCATTGCCTAAAACAACAACAACAAAAAATAAATAAAGGGCAGTTAAACTAGGTGCCTTTTACAATTCCCTTCCAACTACAACAATCTATAATTCTATGGCTTGACTGATAAGGCATTGAAGCCTCCTCTGTTTAAGGAGTTTTTCTATAACTTGCCTATTGAAAAATAAGGGGCAAACTTAGAGACCCAGGCATCATCAGGTCCCTATAATCATGGCTTCTTCACACACTGAAAAATAAAGAACAGAGAAGAAGCCCCAGAATCAAGTCCCTCATGATCATGGTTCCCTGGCCCATCTGTCTGTACCTTTTTACTTTTTCTTCCTTCTAAAATGCTACATTTAAAGTCTAGGGGAGAGGGGCATTGTGTGCATCAATCAGTCACAGCTTCTCCCTCCCCCAGTCAAACCAATGTACTGGTGTTCTAACACTCATGCTTCATAATACAATGGCTGTATCTCCGTTCTCAGAAGACAGAACTCTCAGCGGAGCATGGATAAGGTATGAGGACCAGAATCAGCAATATGTAGTCCCTTTCCTTAATTTGGTGACATAAATATTATTAACTAATATGAACGATATAGAATGCTGAGGTGGCATTAAATAACAAAGCACATCTGGTGTTCTTTAAAGGAGTATGGATTTAAGTAAAAAGAGCAACCCCAAGAGGGCAATGTGCTTCATCTTAAAGAACTGTAAATATGTATACATACATACATACATACACACACACACACACATATAGACATATATAAATAGAAGTTATAGCAAATTTTTTGTATGAACTTAAGGCAGAAAGAGACAGATATATAATAGAAATAGAGATATATGAACATGGGCTGTGTGTGGAAAGAGTACTAGATTTGGAGCAGGGGACCTGGATTTAATCCCAGTTGTATATTTATTATCTGTATGACCTTGGACAAATCATTCCCCTTCTCTGGAACTCAGTTTCCTACTCTGTCAAATTCGAGTGGGACAGATTCAATTAGATGATAACTAAGGTTCCTTCTAGAGGCAGCTACGTGGCACAGTGGCTAGAGCACTGGGTCTGGAGTCAGGAAGACTTTAGTTCAAATCTAGCCTCAGATACTTACTAGCTATGTGACCCTGGGCATATCACTGCCTCAATTTCCTCAAATGTAAAATGGGGGTTAAAATAGGAAATGAAACAATATTTGTAAAGTGCTTAGCACAAGGAGTGCCTGGCATATAATAAGAGCTTAACAAATACTTGTTCTCTCCTTGGTTCCCTCCAGTTCTAAATTCTATGATCACATTCCACTAAATAGGCAATTTCCCTAGGATATTTAAAATGAAATTTAATTGGCAAAAATTCAATTCCTACATAACGGAGCATATGTAGAACATAAAGGGAAAGCCATAAGCCCCACATTTAAAAAAGCTATTTGTGGTTTTAAATGCCTCCGGAAAGCCTCAGGGCAAATGCAAATCACAGGAAACCCTGTGTGGATAAAATAGGGTAGTAGGAAGCAAATGAAATGGATTGTTTTGTCCCCCCCCCCATTCCAGCCTCCTTTTAAATTAATTAACCTTTTTTTTTCTTTGAGGAAGCAGCCAAAGAACCACCTCTGGAGTCCCCCTTTGAAATGCAATTTAATCATCTGTATGAACAATTTACACAAGTGCTCAAGCATGTACATACAGAGGTACTCCTTCAGATAGACATGCAAGCAAGCATGCAAGCAGACTATCTTTTTCAGTGTCTGTGTCCTTGTCTCTGGCCATTTCTGTCTCAATCTATCTCTTTCTTTCTGTCTCTGTCTTCATCTCTTTCTCTATCTCAATCCTCTCCGTCCTCTGTCTCTCTGACTCTTTGTCTCTTTATCTATCTCTGTATGTCTCTGTGTGTGTTTGTCTCTCTTTCTCACACACACACACACACACACAAATCCACCCTTCTCAAAAGATTGCTATTTCTCAGAAGTCCTGTCTCAACCATGTCACCCAGAGATATCCTTACTAAGACCTGTCTGGACAGTTTTTGTATACCAGCCCTCTTCTTTTCAAACAGTTTTTGAAGCCATAACCTGCTGAGCCATCTCTGCCTCAGCAATGTATGTGAACACTGCTTTGCCATTAGAAAGTGCCTTTGTTCCCCTTGAAGATGCCATCAACCTCAAAAAAGGCTAGAGAAAAGGATAGAAAGATTTTAGAAGAAAAAAAAGTTTAGAATTTGAATAGCAGAGCTGATGAGATATCATTTAGTCTAAACCACTCATTTTACAGATATACAAACTGGGGCTGAGCAAGGTAAAGTGATTCAACTAACATCAAAGAGTGTTGCTGTCGCTCAGTCATTTTTCAGTCATGTCTGCTCTTCATGACCCTATTTAGGATTTTCTTGGCAAAGATACTGAAGTGGTTTGTCATTACAGCTGAGGAACTGAGACAAGAGGGTAAAGTGATTTGTCCAGGGCCACACAGCTAGTAAGTGTCTGAGGCCAGATCTAAACTTAGGAAGATGAGTCTTCCTGACTCTAGGGCAGGCATTCTACCCACTCTGTCACCTAGCTGCCCAAGCAAATAGTATCAGGCCCAAAATTTAAAGCCAGTTCCAAATCTCTATAAAATTGTCTTTTCTCTATAAATATGTAAAGGACTTCCAGATTGAAATAATTATTCTTATTTATATTTATTAGGTACTTCAATTTACAGAAGGCTTAAAGGGTTTTTATAAATGTATATAAAACACTTTCAAAATGCTTTTCAAATATTTTCTCTTTTGATTTTCACACCAGCCCTTTGGAGTGCTCTTGCCACCATTCACATTTTATAGATGAAAAAACTGAGTCTTTAAGAGATTTCTGAGAGAGAGCATTGAATCTCCAACTTCAGAGAGCTCTTATGAGTAACAATTTTCATCATGACTGGTTTAAGGAAAGACTCGTGCAGGGGATGGACTATAACAGATAACCTCTCTAGGTACCTTCCAGATCTTGGATTCAAATGTGATGCACTCACTTTAAAAATATTGTTACAGAGGTAAATGGAAAATAGAGCTTATTCCCTGCCTTTTTTCCCAGATGGAGAAAGTGAAGAACAGAATGGGAAAAAAACAGATTTTACCTGAAACAACAGAAGCAAACTTTCTGGACTACTGTAACCTGAGGTAACTGCTGAGGTGGCTACATTTGTCAACCCTGGAGCCACTACCAGGCCTTGAATATAAGTAATATGATTGATCCTATGATTTTGAGCCAGAAGGGACCTTGGGCATTTTCCTGTGCAACCTACTCCTTTTACAGATGAAGAAGCTGGGGGGGGGGGAGGAGAAGGGAAATGACTTGGCTATTGGCTAAAATAATATAACACAAAGAAATTAACTCAAGTCCTTTGAATTCAGACCTACTGCTTTTGCCACTAGATACTATGTCCCAAAACAGGGAAGCACAAAGAAAAATAGTAAAAGAAAATAGAAAGGATCCAGAGAAAGGAAAGGAAAGATAAGAGGAGACAGATGAACTGGAAAAGGAGAGACCTGGAGAGGAAGAGAAGAAAGGGAGGAGAAAGAAGAAAGGTAAGGGAAGACAGTGAGGAGGGAAAAGAGGAAAGAGGAAAATAAGAGAATTGAGAGGAAAGCTATTTATGTGCTAAAGAGTAACGATCCTCCCCAGCCCTTCCACCCTTCCCTTCCCGTAGAAACCAGTTCGCCCATACACACCCACTGCAAACCCCCCCCCTACCCACAATGATACAATACCATCCCCCTTCTCCTCAAACCCCCTACGTTCAAAGGTCAGGCTCACCTATCGAAGGCGACAGCGGTCATGGAGTAGATGCTGGCGAAGACAGCAGCGATCGGGAAGAAGTTGTGAAACTTGCAGTAAAACAGTCCGTAATACCACTCATTGTGGATGGCATAGGTGAAGTTCACTACCGTATTGAAGGCGGCCATAGAAGCTTCTGCGAAGGCCAAGTTCACCAGGAAGTAGTTGGTCACTGTCCGCATCCTCTTGTGGGCTAAGATGATCCACATCACCACCACGTTGCCCACCACGGAGGTCACCACAATAACAGAGTAGGCAGCTGCCCAGAGAACGATCTGCCAGGCCGGTTGCACAAACTGGTTGGGTTCTGAGATGTTGGAGGATTCATTTAGGGAGAGGGCAAGGTCTGAATTACTCTGCAGAATATTATCCATCGTTCTTCTGGGGTTAAACCTTCCACGCAAACCCTTAGGGAGCGGAGTTCTATGCAGAATACTTGACGTGCAAAAGCTGCAAGCAACAGGAGGCTCAGTGTCTCCTGTTAGAATCCTTTTCACGAGAGCAGGGCGGACTTAGGAGGGGACTGAGAAATTGTAGAATGTGAAAACTTGGTCTGACCCAGGAAGCTTCTATGTTCTCCTCATCAAACTTCAGCAAGCGCTGGGAGTTTGTCTTTCCTGTCTAGGTTTTAAGAGAGAAATTGGCAAAAGCAATCACTCAATAGAATCACAGCTCTTGGAGGCACCTCCGAGCACTGCAATTCTGCAACCGTTTTCTTTGGCGGGGAAAAGGGATGCTGCGGGAGCCCTAGAGGCACCAGGCATGGTGCCACCTCCAAGAGTTCTGAGCCAAGGGCTAGCGATCTGGAGTCAGCTGGGGTAGAAGCACAGTGCCCCAACTGGAGAAGGGCTACCTGATTGTGTCCGTCGCACAGCGGCAGCAGCAGTTGCAGACCGCCTGCGGTCCCTCAGGCTACGACGTGGACGCCCCCTTGCTCCTTCCTTCTCAGCTCTGGAGGTGCCAGAGCCTCGGCTGGGCGTCTCAGGGCCTTTTATAGAGCGCTGCAGAGACGTCACGGGTAAAGGGGGAAGTACCTAGCCTGCGGACCCACTCAGTGGCAACAAGCAGCGCACCAGCTACACCAGATGTTGGTAGATATATGTCCCTGTGCTGCTCAATCCTTTCCCTGGTTCAAGAGAGGAGAAAAGAGATGTGTGTGTGTGTGTGTGTGTGTGTGTGTGTGTGTGTGTGTGTGTGCGCGCGCGCGTGGGTTGAGGGGGTGGATCTTAAGAGGGGCCAGAGCCCATCTTGGGGCAATTGCATTGGAGCTGGAGCGTAACTTCAGAAGTAGCTACATCAGAGACTCCTGCTGGGTTAGTATGTGCTTGGGGTGGAGGAGTATGCATTACACTGGATGGGAACGGGAGGGTATCTCACTGCGGGCGAGGGAGGGATGTGTGTTGCTTAGGGAGACGTTGCTAGGGACTTCCAGTGTAAAGCCGGACCTCTCTGGGGCTAAGAGGAGACGCACAGACCAGTTGAGTGTGAAGGGTGTGGGTCAGAGATGTGACACCTCCATTCTCTGATGCTAGTCTCCCTGTCCGACTCACTCCAACCTCAGAGGGGAAGCAGTCATCAAGGAAAAGAAAGCAGGCTATTGGTTCAGTTTGGAACTTCGGTGTTTAGTCCAGAGAGTAAGGGAAAACAACTTTCCCCTGGGGAATTAGTGGTAGTAAGAGTCCGAGCCTTCTTCCCAGCTTTTCTACTTTATATTTTCTCTCCTAGGATTAAGATTCATAAACACATTAGCAGAATTGCTGATCCTTAAAGACATTTATCCCACCCAGCTGCACTCCTTAATTCCTAGTTTCTGGCTAGAATGGTAGTGGGTAGGGTGTTTCCATTCCCGGGTGCACAAGTGACCTGACTGTCGCTTTCTGCAGTGCGCAGTGGGTTCATTGGGCTTGTCCCAGCTGATGGCCTGAGGGACTGCGGCTCGGGAGCCTAAAGGAGAGCGCTGCCTGTGCTCTGCAGGAAAAGGTTGTGACTAGAACCATTTTGTCCTAGCCCTGTCCAGCACCCATCCCCCACCCCCACCCCGAGAAGCAGTGCCGGGTACTCAGCGAGAGGCAGCCAGACGAGGGGGCCCGGATATGGTCTGGACAGGGGTAAGAGAGAGGTTCTTTCCTTAGTCTCCCCACCATCTCAGTTCTTCCTAGGGCTGTTGCCTTGATCCATCCTGCTGACTTGAAATTCAAGGTTTGCTCCTAGCTCTACAAACAGCAAGGCTCAGTTGGAGCCAGGCTTGGGGCTGAGAGTGCGACTATCGGTTTCAGTCAGCCTTTATCAGAATTCCACCGCACAAAGTGTGGTGAACCTACTCCGCGGGGAAATAATTCACAGTTGGCTCTGGGCTTGTGATCTCACCCCATCCCCTCCTCATCCCTGCAACCCCCCTCAGCTATGCCAAAGCGCACAACGCCAAATCCCGGGAAGGGATAGCAAACCTTGGCTCGCACGTCCCCTTTCTCCCTGGGGAGCGTGTGGCATACGCAGTTGTGTATCCTTTGCATCTCTGCTCATGTGAGGAACGCAGAATTCCACAGTGATAAATTGGAAACCCCCCAAATTCATTCTCTTTTCCCCTTCTCTCCCTCCTCCACCCGTCTTCCAGTTCCTGGAACTACGTGGGGGTTCCTTTTCCCTTCTGCAGTATTAGTACTAATTGTATTTGACATTTCTGTTGCTTGAAGATTCACTAAGAGCTTGCTTCCAAAGAACACTACAAGGTAGGTGGTCTGAATGTCATTGTTTCCTTGTTACAAATGAAGAAACTAAGACAGGTTAAATAATTTGCCCATAGTCACAAAACTAAGTGTTGGGGCTAGGATTTGCTCCTGACTCCCCCATTACAATGCCTTCCTCTGTAACACCATGACTCTTGATAATAACAATCAACACCAAAACAAGAACTTATACTTACATACCGTTTTAATGTTTATAAAGCCTTTTCCTACAATAACCCTATGAAGCAGGCAACATAAATATTATTGCCTTTTTTTTCACTAATGGGGAAACTTAGTCTGAGGCATCCCTCTCCTTTCTCTTTTATTTTGGGGTAAAGTTGCTGAGTGCACAAGAATCCTCTTCCATCTTCCCTTCTTTCAACTCTACCAAAACAGGGAAGAGATAACGGTACTGTCCATCACCTCTCATAGTCTATTTATATTGTATTGCCTGTGTTTTCTTTTTTTGTTGTTGCTGTTTTAATTGAATCCAATAAACATCATAGATTTACATTAATCATCTCCATACTTTAGACTTCAAGAGTAAAGAAAGTGGATAAAGCATCCTGTGGGGAAAGTGGGAAAGAACTAGCCACAAATTAGGATTTTAGCTAGGACCAGTCCTGAACAAAACCTTAGCCTCATTGGCACTTCACTTTAAGCATATATGAGAGACCTACTTTGAGTCTGTCATTTTATATTAAGCATTCCCGACTTTTGTCTTTTGCATGTCCACACATCTACCTTCTTTCACACAATTTCTCTCTGAGTACTCTATGTTCCAGCTAAACTGAATTATTAGTTGGTCCTTAGTCTCATCCATTCCTCTCCTGCCTCACTTTATCAGAACAGATTGTCCTTCCTCATCAGCACCTGTTGAAAATCTTTCTTTCTTTCAAGGCTTAACTCAGGGCCACCTCCTCTAGGGAGCCTTCTCTGATTAACTTAGATTAATGATCTCTTCCTTCTCAAAATGTCCTAGAGCTACAAGAGTACTAGTGTGCACTCCACTATTGTTGTTGTCTTTGTTCCTCCTTCATTTTTGAAGAGGACCAATGACATCATGGGTGATGTCCTGACTTGCCTGTCAATTGGTTTAAGTGAGACAGAGTTGAGCAAAGTCATCAGCCTCATTCTCTCTTCCAGAATCATCAAAGTTCAATGGCAAGACAAAAGTCAAGATGTCTAGCTATGGCCTGGGATACAGCAGATGACCTGGTGCCTTTGATGTCTGACCAAGCTCTAAGCACTCCACAGCACCTGCTTCATCCCCCTTCATGGCCATTGGAACAAATTGTTCTCATCTGCCCATTCCACTCCAATATAGAGCAAAGGCCAAAGAGAATGAACAGATAATTTGCAAATGGTAAACAGATCATTGCAAACTATTAATAACCACAGCAAAAGACTCTCAAATTAACTAATAACCAGAATAATGCAAACTATGATACTTAATATAGTGCTTTGTACCCACTAGAATCAAGCAATAAACACCGATTTATTTTGTTAATAGTAATGTATCAGGCACTATGCTAATTGCTGGAAATGCTGAGATAAAAATGAACTGCTCCCTGCCCTCAAGGAGCTTATATTAATTCAGTGTTGATGAGGCTTAGGGAAGGGAGACACTCTAATAATTGTTAGTGAGACTACACACTGGTGGAAAGATTTTGGAAAGCAATTTGGCAATATGCACCTAGAGTCACAAAACTCATCATACCTTTTGGTCAATGGATTCCATTGCCAGATTATTTACACACACACACACACACACACACACATATATATATATATATATATATATATATATATATACACACACACACATACAGAATAGTTATAGCTTCTATTTGGAACACTCCCAATCTAGAGGGGAGAAAAACTCAGTGTTTCTAACAACTGGACAATAGCTGATTAAATTATGGTATATTAAGACAATGGAATATTATGATGATGCTTCACCTGCAAAATGAGAAATACAGAACATACAAGTGCAGAGAGATCATTTATCCACAGGAATGCTATTAGGAAAGCCAGAGAGTTTGCTTCTGGGAGCTATACACAATGAAGGCGGGATTTAGAACTAAGGATTCAAAGCCGACTGGGATAGCTCTATTGGTTTTCCTCTGTTGTCTTTGCCTCCAATTTTATTTGCATGGTCACTGACAGTATTAACACTAGAAGAATCAGACATACAATTGACCTACAATTTTAAAAATGATTTTAGTATAATTTGCTCTAAGTTCTCCTATAGGTGCAAATGTACTTTGCATACAAATAATTACAAACAGGTATTGCAGTTTTCCTTTTAAATAAAAATTTTCATCCGACTATCTTTCTTACATTTGCCTTGTGGGTTAAATTCTGAGCTTTCTTTAATGAGGTTGATGCTAGCAGAGGAAAGCAAAGACGTCCAGAGCTAAATCAGTGAACTAAAATTATAAGTACACTGTATCCCTAGTCATAAAGTGCCCTGCATTAGGGAATAGGGCAGGGAAGAATTGATAAGAACAGAAAAAAAAGGAAGGAAGGAGGAACCAAAGGTGATAGATATTTAGAAAGTCTTGAATTGACAATCCAGGACAAAAACACTTGTTTTTCTTGGCAGCATTAGACCTAAGTCTTCCTGACCCAAAGGTTAGCCTGTCTTTAAATTTATAAAAACATTTTTTAAAAATCCCTACAGCAAATTGTCTGACTCTCATCCTTGTCATCTTCTACCTTGTAGCATACTAATGTATGTATGTATAATATGTATGTATGTATATAAATATGTTATATTCACCCCCAACCCATCCATGATACTCTAAGATTCTTGAAAAGTACTGTTTTTTTTAAACCTCTGTATCCCCAGTATAGAATATACTGTCCATAGTAGATTTTAAAAATATTCTCCCTCAAGTCCTTTTTCATCAGTCTATCTATTTATTGAACCTCAGTGTTTCCCAGATTGTGACACTACAGGGTCCACAATTACAGGTTTAGTAATCTACTGATACTTGTCAAAGAGCCTCAGGTTCTGATTTAAAATTATTCTTGCTGAATCCATCCATCCATCCATCCATCCATCCATCCATCCATCCATCCATCCACAGAACACAAGTCTTCTAATTCTTATATATATCATATAATATGTTCATATTTCTATTCATATTCTATTCATAGCTATATTCATATTTCTATTTATGTATAGGAATTAGAAGACTTATGTG